GAATACGGATTGGCTGCATTTTTGCTCAGCATTTCTGGATCTAACACAAAATAATGAAAATCAAAACGATCGTTGCTTTACACAAAACAACGCTTTACCTGAGCGATGAGTACTTTAGTAACTGGAAAGGATTTTTGTTTGACCTCTGGAGTCGATTTCTGTTGCGATCGCCCTGCGAAGTTGCTGAAAGAACAGTTTCAGCGAAAGACAGACATCTCGAACACAAGTTTACTTACTGCGTGACATCGGCGGTCTGTCAACAGCAGAGCCTAGTGACAACTGCTGCTGCCGCCAAAGCAAAATTTGGCGGCTTATGCCGGCTTTAGCCTGACAAATTTCAGCTGCAAAGTGGTCACTCGACTGGACATAACGATCAACGTCATTCTGAACCGACGATATCACCTACTAATTTTGTTTTTAACATTTTAACATATACTATATTTTCAAAAGGAACTGCGTCATATCAGAAAAACAAATAAGAGACATATTCACTGAAAATTTTGAATGAAAACTGACCAGAAATATGGTCACAATCCATCTCACACTCAACATTTGATCGAAAGGTCTCTATCACCTTAAGTCCGTTCATGTAAGCGAAAAGTTACTATAATTATGAAATACTGCCTCCTAAACCAGTCTCAGTCTTGTTATTAGTCTTGGTTCTCGATCCATGGTCCAAAGTAACAGTTTAAAAAAGATTAAGTAATTTCCTTTACTGACCGACGCATCATTAGGGTTAAATTACACAAATAGCATGGAATTATGAAATGGCTTTGAGTGAAAATAACGTTTGTTCGGTTAATTCATTCGAATAAGCTGAGCAACTACGTTTCATCCGTTACTCAAACGAAACGAGCTCGTATTCGGTCAGCTTTAATTTGTTTCTTTTCTTATTGTCAACAGGAATCACATTCATCGGGCTGAAAGAGTGTCCGAAAGTAGAAAGTGTGGGAGACCATGCCACTACGCTTCGTTTTCCCATTCTTCAGAGCTGCCAGACGTCACGCAGCTCTTTCATCCAATCTTCATATAGTTTGATCGATGTAATCTTGTCGCGAGCATTGTAATCGATCTTATACATGACGCTCATCTCTCCGCTTGATGAGATTTCTCGTATATGCAAACTGCCCACGTAGCAAACTCTAAAATCTTCATTTCCAGGTACTGTTTGATATTATAGACAGCTTAGGAATAAACGGAATGGGATGACTAGGGCAGCTCTCACTATTGAACTTATTTTTAACACAGAACTGTTTTAATAAATGTCCTTTCATAATTTCTTTACTGTAGCTGTTTTTACATAAAAAATATTTTAAATGTTCAATTATTTTTTATTAAGCAGAATCAGTCATACTAAGAAACGTGTTTTCTATAATACTGTCAGAAGACATTTAGGAACACAAGACTTTAGCTGTAAGTACCAGTCAGGACATTAAGGCTTTCGATGAACTGTGAAATCAGACGGGTTTTCATTTTTAACTGTTTTCTTATTCTTCATCAGCACGTGCAGAACGCTTATTTGGCCTTTATCTTGTTATTCCGTAGTATATTTAGATTCTTCTGCAATTGTGAAAGGCTCTCATGAAATTTTTAAACATGTTGTCGAAGTAAACTTTAACTTTAAGCACTGCGAAGAGGTCAACTACATATCTAAGATAAACCGGTTTGTAACGAAACAGGCATTTTTTGCAGCGTGGACGTTTCAAGATGATGCATATGTAGATCTGAGAGCGCCGATCCAAAGGAAATCTAAAACTAACGATAGTAAATGGATCCCTGAAAGGAAAAATCCGTGCATTTCAGAAACACTGTAAATACAAAGAACAGATCTTCAGTTGAAATTTTGCTGAAAATGCTTGGTCAGTTCTTCAAATCGTTCTCGATAATGTCCAGTATATGAGAAAGAAGACTATCATGCATTAGACATATCAGACATGTCGTACCGATATTTTCGAGAAACATCAATGATATTCTCCTGATGCTACTTCATTCAGGTTTTCGATAAAGCTCTATGCGTCTTTCACTGTATATTCCAACTTTTATTAGGCCGGTTTCAGGTATAGGTCGTTGTTTGGTAACTTTTAGCTTACAATTCCGCGTTGTCAAATAAAAAAATGTACATAATCCGTTTTTAATTGTTGCCTTAAACCATGCGTAAAGAACTAACGATCATTAACACCATCATCATCCAAGCAGGCAATGAATGGATATCTCTCTCCGCAGATATTAGTATCATAGTGTTTAAATTATAAATTCAATATTGCAATGACCCCTCCTAAAGTACTACCTTAATGCCTAAAAGTTAGAATCTTCAGGACGATATACTGTTCAGCTTTTAGGTTCGAATTGGGTTAAAACTTGCGATGGTAGTTCAAGAAATATACTAAAAAGTTAGCCAGCACGGTGAGTTATGGCAGTCTCTTCCAACACGAAATCACAACTGCAACCGTAACTGTATTTATATTACAAAAACGTATTAATTAATGCACAACGGAGAGGTACCCTAATATACACTGAACAATACAGCGTCGTTGCGTATGTTTTAAAATATAACTACGTGTCAAGACTGCTTTGCAGGAAGCAATGTGAAGCTAGTGACAGGTATCATTCTGAAAACATGTTTCCTTGAACAATCAAGAAATAAATGGAATAGTTGCTATTCTGAAACAGGCAGGCAACGAATCGAAGTCTCCTCTAGACTTAATTGCATGTTAGTTTATTAGTGATATTACACTGGACTTGTGTGCC